GGTTAAATACATTATGGTACATTCGGGGGAAGCTGTAAAAAGGAATGGGGCAGGGAATTCTCTGGCAGTCTAGTGGTTAGGACACTGTGCTTCCAATGCAGGGGGCATGGGTTCAATCCCTGGTCGGGCTTCTAAGATCCCACAAGCCACGCGGCACAGCCCAAATAAATAAATAAATAAGGAATGGGGCAGTTCTCTGTATACTAATTTGGAAAGTTCTCCAAAGTATACTAAATGAAAAATGCAAGGTACAGAACTGTATATGGTTATAGTATGCTATATTTAAGAGGCAATGGGCAGGGTTAGGGTTACTAAGAACATATTTTTGCTTTGCAAGAAGCTAATATAAGTGACAATCTGGGGGATTTACTATATATATACGTCGAATCATATTAATATATTTCCAATTCCAAAATTAAAAATTTTTTACAGAAACAGCCAAGAGTAGTTTTGGAAAAAAAAAAACTGAGAAGGAACTTATCTTACTAGGAATTAAAACTTAATAAGAGACTTCAGTAAAAACATTGGCACAGAAAATGACACATAATCGGAACAGAATAAGGTCATGGGTTCAGTCCCCATATGGGCCACCAAAAAAAAAAAAAAAAGGAACAGAATAGAAAGTTCACAAGTGGATTTAGTGGGAAAGTGATGCTTTCTAGAATAGAAGAGAATAAATGGTCAGGATATCTATTCCCTGACTGGATTATGGGTTGGCTGCATTTCTTTAGTCACATCTTCTGTCTGAAGACTTTCTCCTATCCTATCCTTCCTTCTTCTTATTAGGATTGGGGTAGCAATAGCTCCCTCTTGTTGCTAGCCCTGGAATGCTTCACTCTTTTGTTGGTTTCTCTTAACCCAGTCTACAATTCTGTAAACAGTCCCTTTATTAAACTCTCCTTAATTACTTGGTTTGAGTATGTAGGGCTTTGACGGATAAAATATTTTTACAAATCGTGTAATTCTGGTTAAGTGATCATACTGAAAATAACTGACATTTCTGTATTCCTAAAGAATAAAAATACGTGTTACGACTGCTCTGTCAAATCATAATGTAGAAAAAATATAAGCTTATGACTGCTAGATTTGCTGCTTTCATAGTTGTTAAGAAACTTGTCTCATTTAAATTAACTGCACTAAACAGTCAGTTCCATGCTTATTTAATTATTTATGTAGGCGCCACAAAGAAGAAAGTATGAAAAGCTGTAACAGGGGAAACTGACCCTTAAGGTGGTGAAGGTTAGGGCCCCCTGAAGAAAAACATTTAAAGACATCTTAGGAGGAGGACACACCTAATCCCAACTGGTATATTGGTCATTTGCCATGGGCCAGGCACAAATCACAAATATTTCACAAATATTGTCGAATTTGTCCTCAAACTACTCTGTAACATGGGTATTGTATTATTATTTATTTTTCATAGATGATGAACCAAAGAATAGACGAGTTAAATAGAGAATGGTTATACAGTTCATTACTGAATGAATGGACAGATACACGAAGAATGGTGTCCTATGCAGAATTCTGAGAAGAAAGTCAAAATCTCACATTAATCCAAGAAATCTTTCTGCATCTCGGAGATGCTTGAGGAAGAGATCCCGAGTACCCTCAGTCAATTTGTTCCTTCCTTTCTTCATTCAAACAGTTCGGGACACAGGGAATCCGCTGTGAACAAGACAGAAATATATCCTGTTCTCTTGGAGCTTCCGTTGTACCGGGCGTTGTACCGCCACGCAAAGATTAAGATAGGATGCTGTGATGGTGACTGTAGGCCTACTTTGGTCACTTGATGGGCACAATCTGTGCTCTGGGTTGCTTTCTCACACTTTTGGTGGCGTTTTCTTCCTTTTACCCCTCTTCCTCAGACGATTCCGCCGCGCTGCCCTCGTGTCTCCACTCATTGCGCCTGGGCCCAAGCCTGGCCCAATCGGATACAGCCCAAGGGATTGGTTCCTCAGCTGGGGAAGCAGAAAGGGGCGGGGCTTTGTCCCGAAACCTGTGGCTGCTGGCTGACGGAAGTGAGCTGGAGACTCGGAAAAGTTGTCGCAGGAAGTCTGGGGAAAAAGCGCTACCGAGGGCCTTCCCTGGTGGCGCAGTGGTTGAGAGTCCGCCTGCCAATGCAGGGGACGCGGGTTCGTGCCCCGGTCTGGGAAGATCCCACATGCTGTGGAGCAGCTGGGCTTGTGAGCCATGGCCACTGAGCCTGAGTCTCCGGAGCCTGTGCTCCATAACGGGAGAGGCCACAACAGTGAGAGGCCCGCGTACCGCAAAAAAAAAAAAAAAAAAAAAAAAAAAAAAAACGCTACCGGGGGATGGGGGCAAAGGCTAAGGCAGAGGAGGGGGGTGGGGTTGGCCTTGCCCAACGGTTGGGAGTGTAGGCTAGACGACGGCGGCTAGACAAAGAGGTAGTGCCAAGGAGGCAGAGACGGGGGCGCAGACACTGTGGGGTCGGGGTCGGGGTCGGCGGTGAGGGCGCCCGGCCTGTCGGGAACCGCGGGGAATCACCTGGGCCGTCCGGGAAGAAGCCAAACCGGCCCCGCCTCCAGCCTGTCCTCCGCCGGCTGCGGTGGACGGCGCAGAGAAGCAGCAGCCCCTTGCGGCGGCCGAGGAGCTGGCCGCCCAGAAGCGCGAACAGAGACTGCGCAAATTCCGGGAGCTGCACCTGAAGCGGGTGAGTCGCCCCAGAGGCCACCTGAGCCGCACCAGCGCGTGTGACAGACCTGCAGAGCTAGATGAAAGTTCGGTCCCGGTGGTTCTCAACCTGGAATCACACTGAAGTCACTTTGAGACTTTTTAAAAGCTAGACATGCTTAGGCCTCACTTCCAGGGTGTCTGATTTGATCAGTTTCTAAACACAGACATTGGTATTTTTTTAAGCATCCTCTCCCTGCTCCCTCCTCTCAGCTCAAGTGATTCTGTCAAACCTTTCTTTTCATGGAGGGGAAGACCGTGGACCAGAAATGGAAAGTAACTTGTCTGTTGTCACGCAGCAAGTTGGCGTCATTCATCCAAAAACAGCCCCTCGCCTAATGGCCTCTAGTGTGCTATAGCCAACTATCAACAGATGGTGTGGATACAGCGGTAAATATGGTAAGGCTTCTGCCCAGATACGGAGGCAGATCCGTAACAAATAATTACTTCACGACTTGGTAAATGGTATGTTAGAGGGAGGAACAAAGTGCCTCCGAAGTGCAGAGAAGAAGACTGACAACTAGAGACTAAGATGACAACTACGCTGCTTGAAAAATGCGTAGGATATTATTAGACAAGTAAAGGAGTTGGGGGAAGTGGTATAGAGCAGTAGGAACAAGAGCAAAGGAAAAGTCCTCATTAGGATAGGAGGTCAGCAGGCAGCTGGAGACAAGAGGTATGTGTGAGGATGGTAGTTATCTCTATTTGCGCAGAAAAACGCAATCTAAAAACTAGTGGGACATACTTAATTCACTTGAAATACTGTAAAAAAAAAAAAAATAGGAGGCCGGATGATGTGTGAAGAAGCAATGATATAATTCAAACATCCCCCTTTTGCAGTTTTTAATGAGTCACTGGATCACAGTCAGTGGCTGTGAACATCACAAAAAGGATAAAATCAGAGATTATGTGTCTCCTGATAGAAGTATGTAGCACCAGTTTCACATAAGTAGACTTGCTAAAAATAAATCTAACCTGAATTGGGGACTTCCCTGGTGGTCCAGTGGTAAAGAATCTGCCTTAAAATGCAGGAGACGCGGGTTCAATCCCTGGTCAGGGAACTAAGATCCCACATGCCACAGGGCAACTAAGCCCACACGCCACAACTACTGAACTCGCGCACCTCAACTAGAGCCCGTGTGCCGCAAACTACAGAGCCCACGCGCTCTGGAACCCACATGCCACTAGAGAAGAGAAAACCCACACGCCACAACTAGAGAAGAGAAAACCCGCACGCCACAACTAGAGAGAAGCCCGCGCACCACAACGAAAGATCCTGCATGCCTCAACGAAGATCCCGCGTGCTGCAACTAAGACCTGACACAGCCAAAAATAAAATTAAATAAATAAATATAAATAAATCTTAAAAAAAATAAATCTAACCTGAATTGGATGAAGCCACTAGGTCTATTGACCAATTTACAGGAAATACAGGGGTCAAAAAATATGTTATAGGACATTATAGGGAGGCAACTAGCAGATGCCACTTTGGGAAACAATAGGACAGTCAACAGAGTCATTTTCACACTCCTCAAAAAAGCAATGGATAAAAAAGATGGAAAAGGAAACTATACATTAAATAAACCTTAAGAGGTGTACATACATATTGACTAATCGCAACATGTGGGACTTGTCTGAATTCCAATTCAAACAGATTGTAAAAATAATAATGAACACTTATGAGACCATCAGGAAAATGTGAACACTGACAAGATATTTGATAATAAGGAATTATTTGGGGAGTGTGCTGATGGTATTGTGGTTAAAGAGATATTACAATATTATAGGTAGAAAAGAAAACCAGCTAGAAATCAGGAAATTTGGGTTCTTGGCCTAACTCTGCCACTAACTCTGTCACCTAAAACTTTCTGAACTTCATAGATAATAGGAAAATTAGATTGCAGTCCTTCTCATACCACCTTCATGGTTTATACTGTAAGTGTGACCACCTGTCTACTTGCTCAGTGTTTTTATTTTTTTAATAAATATTTATTTTATCTTTGGCTGCATTGGGTGATCGTTGCTGCATGTGGGCTTTCTCTAGTGGTGAGCGGGGGCTACTCTTTGTTGCGGCGTGCAGGCTTCTCATTGCAGTGGCTTCTGTTGTTGTGGAGCATGGGCTCTAGCCACGTGGACTTCAGTAGTTGTGCACGCAGGCTCAGTAGATGTGGCTCACAGGCTCTAGAGTGCAGGCTTCAGTAGTTGTGGCACGCAGGCTCAGTAGCTGTGGCTCGAAGGCTCTAGAGCGCAGGCTCAGTAGTTGTGGCACACGGGCTTTGTTGCTCCGAGGCATGTGGGATCTTCCCGGACCAGGGCTCGATGCGTGTCTCCTGCATTGGCGGGCAGATTCTTAACCACTGCGCTACCAGGGAATGCCCCCTCTGTTTGTTTTTAAAGGGAGACTAAATGAGGCGTTAAGATAGGTGTTTTTAGACGTGTTAAAACTGAAACTTTGTCTTCAACCCAATCTGAATTAAAAAAGGAATGAGAAATGGAATCACTTTCTCAGTATGTGACTGTGTCATTCAGTAGTATCTAAAATCATCTCAAGTACCTCTGTACAGTGGAACTCATACTTTGGGAAATGCTGTTTCAATCCAATCCTAAGCGACTTGCTTACATCACACAGCTAGAGAGTAGTCAAATCAGTATATTTCTCAGGCCTTCTTACTCCCAAACTATTGCTCTTTCCATCTTTACCACATGGTTCCTTGAAGGCAGTAAAATAATACTTAAAGGTATAGATGTTGGTGTTTACCTCTCTTCCCCCTACATGAAATCTCTTCAGTACAAACACACTCTCACACAAACTTCTCCAGTGGCTCCCTTCCTTTCAGGATAAAATCCGTAAGTCCATTTTGGATGGCCTACCATACAAGATAGGTAACATTTATTTGGATTTGTTTCCATACCTCTGCTGACAAACTTTGTGTCCTGGTGGTAGAATGAAGCTCGAAAATTAAATCACCAGGAAGTTGTGGAGGAAGATAAAAGACTTAAATTACCTGCAAATTGGGAAGCTAAGAAAGCTCATTTGGAATGGGAATTGCAGGAAAAAGAAAAGAAAAAGTAAGTACACTCCTGCCACCTTCATAAGCTGTGGATTCAAATATTATATTGTGTTTTGTTCAGGCAGTATATTGCATGGTAGTTAAGCATTAAGCATTCCAGCTCTGGTTTCCTCATCTGTACCTTAGAGAGTTTTGAGAATAAAATATGGAAGACATTTACAACACTGCCTGACACATAGTTGCAGCCACATAATGGACATTAGGTAAAAGGTTAAGCTACAGTAACAAAAGCTCCAACAATAAGAGAAGATAAAGCTCATGAGCCTCTCCTGTATAAGTTCCCAGTTGAGCAGCCCAAGTCACCTGGCCTGATGCAGCTGCAAGGGATGTTGAGAAATGGGCGGCCATGAGCCCAGAAAGGAGGCAAGCAAGGATTTTGATGGACATCTAATGTGTCCCCCACAGCTATTTTTGGTGTCAGTTTTATAGATGTATTCTTACAGATACAGCAGATTCCACAATTTTCTTTGTAAACTGGCCATTTTACTGTCTTGATGGCGGTCTTTAGGCCTTTGATTTGAAAGGAATTAAGGAATTGTATAAGGCAATAAAGCTAATGTTTTTTCCCCTCGTTTTAGGAATGTACAGCAAGAGGGGAAGACTATAAGAAAGTGAAGTTGCTCGAGATCAGTGCAGACGATGCAGAAAAATGGGAGAGGAAAAAGAGGAGGAAAAACCCCAATCTGGGATTTTCAGGTAAAAATGGCTTTTACTTTTGAATGGGCCTATTAATGGCCCATTTAACAAGTCTAATAATGCCCCACCCAACGTCTAAAATAGTATGGGTTCTCATTTTTTCAGATTATGCTGCTGCCCAATTACACCAGTATCATAGGTTGACAAAGGAGATCAGACTGACATGGAAACATATGAGAGACTGAGAGAAAAGCAGTAGGTCGATGTGATTTAAAAGCATACATTATGTATGTTACTGAAAGGCCTTGAATTTAAGAGTGCTGATACTGGAGCTTTGCTTCCTGGCCTTGGGTCCCGGCTCCACCACTTAGTAGCTGTGTCACACTATTTTTCTCTGTTTCCTCATCTGTAAATAGGGAATAACAACAGTGCCCACCTCACAGGGTTATTATCAAGATTAAATAAATTCATACAATGCCCTCAATCAGTGCTTGGCACATAGAAAGCACTGTATATGTATTGGCTATTATTTGTTATCATTGATTATTACTGTTGCTATTACCCTTATCCACAGGTAAGGGACACAGTAATACTTTCTTTCGTCATGCACAGTAAACAATGGTAAACTACACTCCTTACCTAATTATGTAAGACAGGTACTGTGCTAAAGATCAAGACTGTTTTAATGATGATAGTGTAGATAGTGGAGAGGGCTGTAAATTGTGCCCTCAATTGAGCATGTTACTCAAGCTCTCCTACTGTATGAACTTCGTTAATTCCATTAACCTGTGGTCCTCAGCTAACTCATTTGGGCTTTGGAGGTTTTTTATTTTTTGGCCACACAGCATGCAGGATCTTAGTTCCCAGATCAGGGATCGAACCCACGCCCCCTGCAGTGGAAGCGTGGAGTTTTAACCGCTGGACTGCCAGGGAAGTCCGAGGAGTAGATATTTCTTAAATATATATATTTTTGGTCTGAATTCTATTTCTTTGAAATCAAGTATCTCAAAGTTTTCCACTTTTGACCACTAAACATTGTCCAGTTCTGAAGGTATAGGATCTTTTTTTGTGTTACTCACCACTTCACTCTTTTTCAGTGGAGAGGAGTTCTACCCAACATCTAACAGTCTTCTTCACGGAACACACGTGCCTTCCACAGAGGAAACTGATAGGATGGTCGTAGACTTGGAAAAGCAGTAAGTACTACAAATGCAGCCTAAAGTTTTAGTGATTCATGCTTAATAACAAAATTAACTATATGGTCTTGAAGTGTAGCAACTGGATTGAAGTTAAGGAACATTTGAATTATTAGTTTGAAGAATGGTCCCATTCACCACCACTTTTATATGTGTGTGGTTTTTTTTTAACATTTTTATTGGAGTGTAAGTGCTTTACAATGTTGTGTTAGTTTCTGCTGTATAAAAAAGTGAATCAGCTATATGTATACATATATCCCATATCCCCTCCCTCTTGCGTCTCCCTCCCACCCTCGCTCTCCCACCCCTCTAGGTGGTCACAAAGCATCAAGCTGATCTCCCTGTGCTATGCAGCTGCTTCCCATTAGCTATTTTACATTTGGTAGTGTATGTATTTCAATGCTACTCTCTCACTTCGTCCCAGCTTACCCTCCCCCCACCCCACCCTCCTCCTCAAGTCCATTCTCTACATCTGTGTCTTTATTCCTGTCCTGCCCCTAGGTTCATCAGAACCATTTTTTTTTAGATTCCATGTGTTAGCATACAGTATTTTTTCTGACTGACTTCACTCTGTATGACAAACACTAGGTCCATCCACCTCAAATAACTCAAATTTCATTTCATTTTATGGCTGAGTAGAATTCCATTTATATGTGCCACATCTTTATCCATTCATCTGTCGATGGACACTTACGTTGCTTATATGTGTTTTGAATGGGGTAACTACTAGGCAGAATCTACAGAGTACATATAAAAATTCTCTCAACGTAATATGTGACCACTCATATTTCAGCGTGAACCTGGGTAATTTCCCAAACTTCAGACCAGATCGTCTGATGATACTGTTAAGATTAAATTCAAGAAGAATGCTCATTGAACATATATCCTTGTAGGATGCTTTCTAAAGATATTGCTTTCAGGCTTAACTATTAAGAACAAAGAGGAGGGACTTCCCTGGTGGCACAGTGGTTAAGAATCCACCTGCCAACGTAGGGGACATGGGTTCGATCCCTGGTCCGAGAATATCCCACATGCCACAGAGCAACTAAGCCCGCGAGCCACAACTACTGAAGCCCGTGGTCCTAGAGCCCATGCTCTGCAACAAGAGAAGCCACCGCAATGAGAAGCCCGTGCACCACAGTGAAGAGTAGCCCCTGCTCACTGCAACTAGAGAAAAGGCCGCGCACAGCAACAAGGCCCCAACACAAAAATAAATAAATTAAAAAAAAAAAAAAAAAGGAATGCTGCTTTGAATTCTGTATATTTGTTTCCGTTACAGAATTGAAAAACGAGACAAATACAGCCGGAGACGTCCTTATAATGATGATGCAGATATTGACTACATTAATGAAAGGAATGCCAAATTCAACAAGGCAGAAAGATTCTATGGGAAATATACAGCTGAAATTAAACAAAACTTGGAAAGAACAGCTGTCTAATCTCCTTCAGGACCTGTTCTGCCAAATTGTACCAGTAAATCAGGACTCTTTTATAATTTGTAAAGACATGTTCTACAAATCTGTGTATTTTCATACTTATTTATTATTCATTTGTTTTAGAAAAATGTCTTGTATTTCTGTGTTTGAAGTGTGTGCTTAATGTGTGCACTCTGCTAGGCTTAAAATCCTTAGATACGAACACAAGTCATCATCATGCTGAAATCTGTCATACATTTGACTTGACCTGGAGTTGATCTTGGGAGCTTCAGAGGTGAGTTGCTAAATTGGCACTAATTCTTCTATAAGCTATGGTAGGTAGTGAAAGGCAGGCAGTGGTCACTGGAAATTCAACCTAATCCCTCCCTGCTCCAAGAGGTCACAATTAGCAGGTGCTTGCCTGTCCCATGTTGTATCCCATGGCCCAGGTGCATTTATGGGGCAAGCATAGAGGGTGGGAGACTGATTCTCCAGTAGCATTTTACAAATATGCCATCCTTCAAAAAGCAAATATCCCTTGGAAGAAGGTAAGTTAAAACACTTGGTGAAAATATTATTAAAATACACATAATACAATCTTTTTTTTTAAAGGCTAACTGGAATTCTAACCTTATTTCAACTGTAACTAAAAAATTCGGACATGCGATTTTAGTAGTAATTATGGGAAACAGAGGCTAGAAAACCTGAAGTCATGAGTATCCCATGAAAGTGAAGATTGTGCCATGTTACGTGAATAAAAACATGCCTAGGCTTGAGATCAGTATAAGCTGGGCACACTTACTGATCAACGAGTAGGAAGCTCTGATTTAGCTAATGACGGGTTTATAAAGATGGTAATATAAATGCTAATAATAAAGGTATATTCAGTGTACTGTGAATAGGGAAATTTTAACATTGTGGTACAGTCATACAGCTACAGAATGAGACAGATCTAACATGAAAAGATGCTCTTACCTATATAAAGAGGTTTGTACAGGCATAGAAATAAAATCCAGGATGTGCACCATACTATTTACAGTGATTGCTCCTGGGAATGGGAACAGATGTGGTAATTTTACTTATTTTTTAAAATAATTTGTCACAAATATACACCCATGCTGCCCAATCTTATCAAGAGTAATAACATGCCAGTAGTTTTTTCTTCTGTATTTTCAAAGAAACATTTAATAATACCTTTCTACTAAGGGAAAAGGAGGGGAGGGAAAAATTAATAGGTCTTCAAAGACATCATACTGACTTGGGCTTAAAGGACAAATAGGATTTCCCCAGAGGAGAAAAGTGCTCCCAATAGCCAACCAAAAAAACAGATGTCAGTATGATCTGAAGACTACTCTGAAGGTGACTAGGTGGATGGTAAAAGCCACTAATTCAAACAGGCAATACTGTAATTAGCTCAGTATGGGAAAGGTTCATTTTGAAGAGCTGAGGCAAGCTTTGGAAACTAGAGTTCAGAAATTGATACTCTTCAGTTAGTAGATGGTAGTTAAAGACAGAGTGGAGGAAATTAGCAAAAGAGCTTGTAGAGGGAGTAGGCTAAGGATAGAATCCTAACAGTGGGCAAAGGACAAAAAGCCACTGTAGATAATGGAAAAGGTCAAAGAAAAGAAGACAAATGCATGGAAATCTCTGCCTGAATGACAGAAAAATTTGAGAAAGGACTCCATGAAGAAATAGTGAAAAGTGAGCCCGCATAAGAACGTTTTATTTTGCTAGGTAAGTTTAATAAGTGCTTCAGCAAAGAAAACCAAAGGACAGCATGCTGTGGTTGGTTCAGTAATCATGGCTTCTCTAGAAAAAAAGCAAAGCATTACACACCTGAACCTACAGTCTAGGGCTGTGCTTTCCAAAATGGTAGCCACCCACCATATGTCACTAGTGATCATCTGAAATGTGACTAGGGCAAATTGAGGTGTGCTTTAAGTGTAACATACACACTGAATCACAACACCTACCCAAAAAAAGTAAAATACCACTTTTCTACATTATATGTTTAAATATTTTAACATCTACTGGGGTAAAAAACGAATTCACCTTTTTACTTTTCATTGAAGCTCTCCTTTCTATTGGACAGCACTAAATCTAGTCTCTTGGTACAATTTCTCACTGTCAGCGCCTGTTTGCTATATTGTCCACAGGTTATGTAATGACGTGGTATCACACCTGGGCAACTGCATCCCACTTATGTAATGACAGGCAGTCTGGGAATATGCACAACGAGTTATCTTCTGTGTTACAAAGCCTAGGAGAGACTGAGCACAGTTGTCCTGGCCACACACAAACGACAAGGTCAGGTTAGACAAGGACTGACAGGACTTCATGGGGTGATTATGAAAAAAAAATGGAGAAAGTGTACATTCTTTTCAGGATACTGGGTAGTAAAAAGAAAATGAACTAATAAAGGGAAAATAGGCAAGTCTCAAGGCTGAAGGAAAAGACCACTGTAGAAGTGAAATCTCAGAAGTGGCACATATCCATAGCAACTAGCCAAACCTCTTACATAAGGTCATAATCAAAGCAGGTGCTTTTCTGTTACCAGCTAAGTGAAGGTGAAAATGATCTTAGCATTATGTCATCAATTCATTGCAAAAGTCTCCCTTACAAGGAAATCCTTGAGTTCTATAGCTTTACTATAGGAATAGAAATTATATGTCCAGGAATGTATATAGCCAAGTCTAAATTTGTACATTTAAATTTTTCATAGGGTCAAATTTAAGAGCAGCTCTTATCCAATACAATGTTCTACCATAGAAGTATTCTATTATCTGCACTTTCCAGTAAGTGGTTACTTAAAATTCAGTTCCTCAGTCACACTAGCCAACTTCTCAAGTGGTCAATAGCCACAGTGGCTGGTGGCTGTCTTCATGGGAAATGCAGGTAAAATACTGGACAGCACAGCTTTAGTTAATACAGTATTACATTGCACTTGAGGATTCTTCACCATCTTTTTAAAGTCAACTTCTACTTAAAAATTTAGGACTTAAGCCTGCTCATCTATTATCTAATTTCTGGGTGTTTGTGTTTTCCCAGGTTTTTTGTCTTGCCACTAATATTCTCCTCATCCTATTCTCTAACTTGTTATCCCTGCCTATTGGAAGTCTATTTCATTATTTCCCAAACTAAAGAGTCTGTTCAAAATTAGGGGAAGATTCCAAGGAGTAGAAAAGAAAAACATTCAAGCAATCAATAGTACCCACCCCCATCACTAAAATAAAACCTCATGCATGTTTTTGATCTACTAGGATTTTTATTTTTTGCTTAGGTTCTAGCAAGACATGTTTTGTTGCTAAAGCCTAGCACATAGGCAAAATAAATTCATTAAGCTGGCATTTTATGTTTAATCCAAACATCTGATTAAGTCAAATTAACACTTGGAGAGACCATCTAAAACTGGCTTAAATCCTCCTAGTTTTGGTATCCACTAGAATGTATTAACAGGCAAAACCACAAAAATCCATAATCAGCTAACGTTTAAACCAACTGCCCAGACCTTTCAGTTAAGTGTAACATTCATCTCTAAATTTTTATGTGCTTAGTTAAGGTCTTTCCCAGCTACAGTAAGAAGCAATGAAGAATTTCAAATCAATAAATACTTTTTAAAACATAATAAGAAAAAAATGCAACGAAACCTCTGATTTTATAACCCAGTGAGGCATTGTTTCAACCCCTCTCTGGCTGAGTTTCCTGCCGTGAAGCTCAATTCTTCCAGGATAACACTATGCCAGTATTCTTTTAAGTCTTAGGCCAAAATTACCAAATTTTAATGAGTATCTACATCAACCGGGAGTACTTTACAAATCAGCTTCTAATTCAGTTCTGGGGTAGATTTCAGATTCAACATTTCTCACAAACTCTCAGGTAAGATCACAGAGCCCTATGCTGTCAGTTCATGGATTTGGATCTGGGATTAGCAAGGCTTTAAACAAGAGATACCACCTCATTCTTCTTCATTAAATAAAAACCCATTATATAAAATATATACAATAAAGTGAAACTAAAATAAAAACAAATTTATTAATAAAATATATACAACACAAACAGTTCAATTACTGTTTGTCTTAAAAATTTCACTTCTACATAACCAATCCATATTATATAAAACATTTACAAGTATATATACAAGAATGCCACCTGTGCGTAACCTCTGGTCCATTTGTGCTATCTCCTATCTGCAAGAGAAATCTAAAATGTTAATATTTAAATATTAAGTATTTACATCTTTCTGTGTTGTCATCTGTAATTGCAAAAATTATCACTAAATGGTTCAAAGGAATGGAATAATGCTGGAAACAAACTTGCAAAAAAAAAAATGCATTTCAGGCAACCTTAGCTATTGATGTTCTTTTCGACAGGTATCCACAGTCCATATGGACTTTTCTTCTTATCTATTTTTGGGGATCCTGAAGAGGTCTCTTCAGCAGTAGCTTTAGCTGATTTCTGAAGCAATGGCTTTGCTACAGAATTCTGTAAGAGAACAAGTTCTTAAGTCAGCTTCCCAAACAAATATTATTATACATATTTAAAATACTCGCTTTTTACAAAATACATTAAATAATTCCATTTAAGACTAGAACTTAAAAGAGACACCAACCAAATAAATGCAAACCCACGGACTGCACTTGCAACTTGATTCAATCAAATCAGACATATGCAAGGCATATGTCACTATTGCAGTAGTGAAGTATTAAAAATAGTTTTGAAATTTTGTTTATTAAGCCCTTAGCTCATTTTAAAATATTCTGACTACAGGATATTCTGAGACTTGTTTTTTGAATATTTTAACAGTTAAAAAAGAAAACAGGAATAATTAAAAGGAGGACAAAATATTGAGACTGAGAATGTAGATATTAAAGTAGGAGCCCATTATATTGGTCACTTGTAAGAACCATACAAAAAAATTTCTTTAATTCTATTTATTTAGCGGCTTAGTAGGCCTCGAATTATCAGCATAAAAACAATGAGCCAACAAAAATAAAAACCCACATAACAGAAATATGTTTAAGGCCAGTTTTTGAGTGGTCAATGCTTAGATATACTTACATTAGAGCTAAAAGCTATGCTTTTTTGCTGGGAAGACTTCTCATTGGGATTTTCTGTTTCATCTTCTATTAACTTATCCGACAGCTAGACAGGTAAGAGAAAGTAAATTTTAAAAAACCATACCCTTGTAGGTATAAAAAGCAGCCCAACTGTATTACAAATTCACTGGTAGAGACACAAATCAAGTTGGATGTAACCAAATAGTTAACATCCTAAAATAAATAACATAGTACTCTGTTGAGTTTTCCCCATAACAAAAGTGATTCAATGATAGGCTTAAGACACTCTTCCCCATAAAGGAGTATTGTATCCCCCTGATGCAAATTCAAGTAACTTTGAAAGTCAAGTCATACCAGAAAACACCTAGTTTCAAAGAACTAAGGCATTTGCCCATCCAGTTGGGAACCTAACCGTCTGAAAAAGCGACTGAACTAAGATCTTTCTTGTCCACCACTAATACTTAGGCAAACCCACATCTGGATCTGAATGACAGGAGATAACCCATCTTCCCTATGTTAACTCAGTGTTATCAATTCCTAACTACCTTAAAACTTTAAGCTATGAATTTTAAGCTGCACATTTCTGGAGAATTGTAATAAACTTATCTGCAAGTGAAGCAGGCCTCTTCTTCTGTAATCTCTCAAAACATCTGGAATATATTGCATATATTATGAAAGGGACATCTATATCAGATGCCCCACCATTACAAAGTACACTTTTGTTTAGTTTACTACCTGTCCCAAATTCTAGCATGCATAGGGATCTACCAACAAAAAACTAAGTTTTCAGTGTGTCAACATAAACTTCAAATTAGTTAAACCTCTGACGCTTTTGCACATGTATCAATTACCAACAGATTTTCTTCATCAATGTCTGGAGACCACATTCATGATTTCTATAAGACAGAAATAAAGCAGATGAACTATACTGTATGTTGAGTACGGAACTTGTGGGAACATAATGCTGCAAAT